ATTTATGTTGGATAAGCTAGACTCTACTATGTGTGTATTTGTATGTGAGTGTGTGTATAGAAGGGATGGGCCCCATAATTTAATATGTTATTTTACTTCATTTTGCTTTCATTAGAAATTTAGGACTTTGGTGAATTTGGAGTCCTTGAGTAAACAGCTGAAATAGCTAATGATACTTTAATAACTGCCCTGAGAATTCTCTGTTCTAAAAATGCTCTGACTTGGCCATAATCCGTGCAGCAGGAATGTGATTTCCAGTGGGCTTTTAAAATTGTCTTACATAAAATGACCCATGCATATCTAGGTCTCTTAGTTATCTTGAAAAGTCTCTTCCAGAATGGTGCTATTTTATCTATAGGAGCTCAGCCAATACAGGAAATTTCCAGATAAACTCTAACTTATAGCTGTGAACTTTGGATGACACTCCTAATCTAAAGACTCAATTTATCTGAATAGTTGACAGGAGTATTTGACACATATAAATATGACTAATGTGGTGGTTACATATTTATAAAAAATCTATTTTAGAAAACTGGATGCTTTAGAATACAATCTTAAGTTATGTGAATTCACAACTGATTCCCTTCAGTGGTTTGCACATGTATATATTGCTATACTGATTGGATCTGCCAAGGTATGGGAGAAAGTGATGTGTTAAGAATAAATGCAGCATCAACTGTGTTTCTATAGTTCATGAAATCTCATGACTTCAACGGATAAAGTTGAACAGCTTTCTGTGTCTTCTGAACATATTCTAAAATAAGAGTGGAAAACAACCAGGTGCTGTTAGGCTGCAACTTCCAATGTTCCTCACCATTGGCTCTGCTGACTAGGGCTTATGAGACCTGAAATTCAATGATTTCAGATCCCATATGACCCCCATTATTATTCACCAATGACTTCCCATTTATCCTCTGATACTCCTATTTTGTCATAATTTCCAAATTCCTCTGAAATTTTTGGAATGATTTGACAATGGTTGGGAAATCAGAGGGGGCTTCCATAGCTTCTTCAGACTCTTCCAGATCTTACATGCATGAGCTGCTGGGATTTTATAAACAGATTTTATTTATTTGTCATGTCAGGGCAACCAGTCAATTGTATAAACAGATGATACCATCCTCTAGATATCCAATAGGGTTGCATTGATAAGGACTTATTCAACCATGCAAGGGGCAGTCTAGTTCAACTATCATTTGTGAATTCAGCAAATTATGGCCTTAAATGCAGATATGTCCTAATAGATTACACTCATTCAATCAGTGAATAGCATTTTTGAATTTCTGCAATCTGTACATAAGATGTTTACAAATACATTATTAACGTATTAGGAATGTTTGCATCCTATGTCTCTGATTCAGAACTTCAACAACTGAAGGAAGTTAACATCAAAATATAAAATATAAGCCACAAAGCATATACAAACACAAAGAAAGGGGGATCCATTATTTATTTCTCCTTGTCCCATTTGCTACCACCAAATCACTTCAGTCATTCTTCTGAATGACTCTTCTTATTCGGAGGTGTAGGAGAGTTTGCAGGTGAAATCAGTGAGGTGCCTATTTCTTTATTTCTATCCCGCTCTATCTCACTCCGAGGGGGACTGGGTGGCTTACATCTTGACAAAATTCAATGCTGCATTATACATAGGACAAATAATACATAACATGATTCAGCTAAAATCAATAGACATATAAATACAAAATAAAACCATTAAACATATTGAATGAATTAAAAACACCATAAAACAAGTAGAGAATTGTACCAATTTGACTGCTTCATTTATATCTGTATCGTGATAGAATGTTAAACTGTATTTCTGTCATTTGCCAAATGCCTGCTTATACAGCCAAGTTTTGGCTTGTTTCCTAATTACCAGGAAGGAGGAGGGTGATCTGATCTCAATAGGGAGGGAGTTCCACAGCTGAGGGGCCACCACTGAGAAGGTCATGTCTCTCATCCCACCAATCGCACCAGCGAAGGCAGTGGGACCGAGAGCAGGACCTTCTTATTGTTTTTGCTTGGAATAAATATCTTTCTTCATATTTCGTGCCATTAGTAGCTAGATTTCTTCATAGCTTTGGTTTAGTTTCCTGCCTGGGTGGTTGACAGATGCTACTGATGTTTCAATTAATAAACAAAAACTGACAGATACTTGCATTGACAAACTGGCTTTGTTTAGACACTGAGCTCCTTTTCAATAACCTCTAATGTATCATTTTTCAAAGTCGAGATGGTTGCAAGTTATATGTCATTTCTGTGGTTAACATAAACTGATCTTTGGATATAAACAAGCTGTCTTTGAGCTTACATTATATTCCAAGTTTTGTTCAATTTTTTGCATACATAGTCATAATGTATAAGTGGGGGCAGGAACAAAATGTTTCAAGAATAGTGTTTTGTTCACAGAACTGGTAAGTCAACCATGTTCTCATTCAAAAATAATTCATTCTGTTTCTCCTCCCTTCTCATTATTCCCCTCAAGACCAGAATTTCATGGTCAATGAGGGCACTAAGGAGTTGAATGTCTTTCTCCCACTAAAAACGTTATTTCTAAAAAGGCTATACAGTCAGGATCCCCATCTTTCCTTTTGTACTTGGGGACATTTCCAGGATTGCAACTTTATTTGTGCTAAAACCTTGTCATACATAGGATTTGGACCAGTCCACCTGTCCAGATTGCCCCAAAGCTGCAGGATACTCCAGAGTTTCAAGTAAACTCCAGAGTATTCCTCAAGTTTGCCCAAAGTGGGACAAAGCTGGTTTAAAGCTAAAAAACCTGGGATAGTCACTGGAAGTAGAGTGTAAAAGAGAGGCTTTTTCAAGTGTAGCCCATAATTTGACAGCATGGCTGTGTTATAGGGTTCTATAGTATTCTATGTCAGATTCTACAGCTACTCTTTCCAGTTAAACATTTAGTTTTTTTGTTGTTGTAAAAGTGATTGGGAATATGAGACTCTGGATTTTGCAGAATCTTTGATCATTGATCTTTGATCTATTTTATAGCATATTCAGTGAATTCTGTCATTCTGTGATTTGTGATACAGTGATTATGTGATCTGTGACTTCAGCAAGAATAGAAACTGGAGGACCTCTGTTAAATATGAGTATGAGACATTACATTAGTTATACTGCAAACATTTAGTGGCAGTTTTCCTCAGGTGCTGTTAATGTGATATTTTATGGTTTTCGCCTTTGCTTTCCTCTGAATGTTCCCCTCAAGTTAATTGAAAGCACACAATTGTTTTGACCCCTTGCATTCTCCAATTCAATAACATATTTTACATAAATTTTCAAAAGGGAAAGAGTGTATAAATGGGTACAGTTCTAAGTTTGAGATATCAGCCAGTTCCATCTCCTTGGACTAAAGGCCCATCTAGACAGGCTTATATCCTGGGACCTGCCTCAGTTTTTATCAGAGGCATTCAAATGAATTAATTCAGAAAAAATGAATTACTTCAAAACAAAACCAAGTTATTCTGAAATAATTTCATACCCCATTAGATTCAGGACTTCCTGAAAGGCCCGAGTCAAATGGGGTATTGGGCCTGTGGGGACTCACTTCTGGGTATTTCTGGGACTACTCAGGGTGAGTCCCCATTGTCATCCCGAACCTTTTAGGCTCCTGCAGCCCAAAGGTCCAGGATGACGCCGACCCCTCCCCCCAAGACCCAAATTTCCCCCTAAAAATTAAGTAAAACATACCTGGTTGCGATAACTTTCCTCCTCGTGCCCCTCTGTCTGATGGGACCCCCCCCCCATCTCATGGTGCATTGTTTCCTCATGCCCTGTTGGTGCAAGGAGGAATGTTAAGGTGGCCGAGTACATTTTACTTAATTTTAAGGGGTACATTGGGGGGCCTTGGGATGGCATGTAGCCACCCCCGGGAAAGCCTGAGTTTTTTTAAAGGAGTGGGGCTGGAAATCCATGCCAAAGCAGGATCTAAAAACCCACATTGGCATGGATTTTGGCAGTGTCTGGAAGTGCCCTAAGGTCTGGGTTTGACTAATTTGGATGCCTTAGGAAACAATGTAAAATAAATAAGATAGCCAAGAGCATGTCCAAACACATGAAGTTTCCCATTGATATCCTAAAATGCAGCATCAGATCAGGGAGTATCTGACTCCCCCCATCTGCTCCAACTTTGATTCAGGAAGGGGTAATGGCTTTCTGTGTGCGTAGAAAACAGTCCATCTTTTGCCGTTCAGAGCCCTATGTTTGTCTGGTTGTAGTGCCTGCTCCCTGGTTATAGTGCATGTTGAAAGCAAAGTCAGTGCATGTATGCCTTCCCAATCTTGCATGGAGACTGAGAAGATAGTGTAAGTATTCTTTACATCTGTACTGCTGGCACTTCAACCAGTTAATAAGAATGAAGCCAAAAAACAAATCCAGTCTATTTCTAGACCATGGAACTGGGAGAGAGATGGTGAATCACCATCCTCTCTCCACCATCAAAGTTAGGAGGAAACCCGAGGGTCATGATGGTTTTCAGAACCGTCCCAGGATTTGTGATGGTAGAGGAAGTGAGCAAAATGTAGATAAGTTCAACTGTATATGTTAGGCATAGTGACTGCTTACTTTGGAGTGCATGTGCATTGCAGAAAAAATAGGGGTAATCATTCATGATTACCTGATCTTAAATCTCCTTACCCATTATGATACATTACGTGGTGTACAGTAAATAGCAACCCACTAGAGAGACTTAAGGAATACATAATCCAAATACATAATCCAAATGGAAACATTTTGTATGATTGGACAATTACAATGTTGGCATCATGCCAGCGCATTACAGCTGATATGTGAATTTGCTTCATTTTGGTCCATTTTTAGTCATTTCCATGAAGCTTCTTTAACAAATGATTTAGTGTTCAGTTTACTGTAAATGTGTGTTTTGATGTGCTCAAATAAATTTAAATCTGATAATTTGTGACAATGGTGTTTCACATGGTTTTGTTTGTTGCAAACACAGCACCAATTATTTCTTCTTTATTTCATAGGCTTGCCTTCTGTCAAATTGAGTACGCATAACCTTACTATTTTTGAAGGAGGAAGCCTCACATTGTACTGTGATGCTTCAGGAAGTCCACCGCCAAGTATATCCTGGCTTTTCAATAACATTGCTTCAAAATATGAGGTAAGGATTTTTAATTAAAATACCTGGATCTGCTAAGGCAGTAAACGGTTTTTGATGAGCAATATAACAAATTTTCTTATTGCCTTTAGCTCTGATAAAATCTATGTATAGCTTAATATAAAATGACGTTTTCAGCCTTTTTTAAAAAAAGGCAAATGTGTATTTTGTCAATAGTAAATAGGCCTGTGAGTCTGATGTTTTCAGGAGTAATGCAGGTGCATAAAGTTATCAAGGTCATTCAGTAAGATCCTGCTCGACTTAAAAGTGTCAACTTTGACAATGCTGACCATTTTAAATGCTCTCAGTTCCATGCAACACAGAATTTGTTTTGAGTTAAAAATACCAGGAACTCTAATGTCTGGGCATGAACATTCATTCCCAGCTGTGTCAGACTGAGTCTGGACAAAACTCATAGCAGTATATGCTGTGTTTATAGCCTCAGTTAAGATCAGTGGAAGATAAAACTTAGATTTGGTTGGGCTTATGATGTCTTCTCCCACATGGCAATGGATCTCTGTGGTCTTTCCATTGTGCTTTACATTGATGCCACAGTATGAGACTACAAGAGGATAAGATCAAGGACACAAGAATTTGCACTAAGCAGGACAATTGCTGGTGAAAATAACTAAATAAAAAATAAAACTATTTATAGTGTACTATATGTGTGAAAAACTAATAACCAAATATGATTACTTAAGTGACAACCACTGCCTGCTTTTAATCTTGCACTACTAAAGTTACCAGAGAGAGATTGGGCAGGTTGATGATCAATAATAAGAAAGGTAATCTTTTTCTAGACGTAGCTCTTAAAAGGTTTAGGTCCCTCATCTTAGCAGTGTGGTGACAAGAGTAACTGATAGAGTCAATGAAGGTAAATTTTATGCATAGAAGCTGTTTCTGTAACTGGGTTGCTGTGAGTTTTCTGGGCTGTATGGCCATGTTTCAGAAGCATTCTCTCCTAACATTTTGCTCACATCTATGGCAGGCATCCTCAGAGGTTGTGACGTCTGTTGGAAACTAAGCAAGTGGGGTTTATATATATGTGGAATATCCAGGGTGGGGGAAAGAACTCTTGTCTGTTTGAGGCAAGTGTGAATGTTGCAATTGACTGCTTCCTGCCTGGGGGGAATCCTTTGTTGGGTAGTGTTAGCTGGTCCTGATTGTTACCTGTCTGGAATTCTCCTGCTTTTTAAGTATTGTTCTTTATTTACTGTCGCGATTCTATAGTTTTTTTTAATACTGGTCACCAGATTTTGTTCATTTTCATGGTTTCCTCCTTTCTGTTGAAGTTGTCCACAGACTTGTGGATTTCAATGGCTTCTCTGTGTAGTCTGACATGGTGGTTGTTACAGTGGCCCAGCATTTATGTGTTGTCAAATAATATGCAGGGCTAGCTAACACCAACCAACAAACAATTCCCCACAGGCAGGAATCAGCCAGGTTTTGAAGCTGCAAGGCTACACTAAATACAAGTAATCACATAACAGTGGCTATATGTGAATTATTCTATTAAGGGTCTCAGAAAATTCATTCCTAAGCCTTGTTTATTTGTTTTCTCCTAGAGTGATACAAATAAGAACCCAGCTTCTCTATCCATAAAGAACGTCTTCTCAAATGACAGTGGTTTGCAGATTTCTTGTGTAGCAGAAAACAGCGTGGGCGAAGACCAAGACTCTGTTGATCTTTCAGTGTTATGTATGTAAATAACTTTATTTGAAATTTTATGTGTAGATAGCCAAGTCATAACAGTGGAAAACTAGAATTTAAGATTTTTTTTAATTGTTCCATCTCCAAAAATAAAGGGAATATCTGCCTAGTGAACTTGCACTGAGCAGAGTTTTTTGGTTGTCATTAAACACTCCTTTTTCTCCTTTTCTTTTTATCATTAATAGGGTTATGTATAGGTTTAATGTAGCAACAGAATTGCAAAAGATTCCATGTGTTCGGAGCTCATTAAAAATAATGTACGTTTCCTCAGACTATGTCTAATGTATGGTAGTTACGAGATTGCAAAATACATACAGAATCTTGTAATTCTTGGGATTCATATGATGATGATGATGATGATGATGATGATGATGATGATGATGATGATGGGACTCAGGGTGGCTAACAGTTGCTAATGACAAATATTATTCCCTAAAACTACTATTTCAGCCAGGCAGGACCCCAAGTGTAGGGTTTCTGTGGCACAGCACATCTTCAGTTCTTTCTTATTTCTTGGGTGCATTTAGAGAAACAGTTGGGTAATGACCCTAAGGATTCTCTCCAACTGACTGTTTTCATTGAGCTCTGTGACTTGGAGAAGACTACAGAGTTTCTAGGATCTGCACCATCTTGGAAATGCTTTGGGGAGGTGGCATCGAGCTATTATATGGGAGCTCTGTCATTGTAGTTTATATAGTTAGTTACATCTGACAGTGCTGAATCTCTGCCAATATCATTTTGATCTGACATAATTCCATAATCCATCCATAGTGTACAATTGGCCAAACAACATTGTGAAAGCATGACTACAGATAGTGCAAAATCATGCCTCTTTTCCTTTCTGTAGTCATGCTCTCAAAAGGATAGAAACAAGCTAATGTCAAAAATATATAGAAGGAAAGCATAAATCGTACTATAAAAATACTTTGGAGGACCAGTATTACTTCATGTAGCACAACATAGAGCCGTTGATGATAAGAATTGTAATTCTAGCAATTGGAAGACCACTCCTGCTGTGGGGCATTCATTTATTAATAGACATATAAAAATAATACAAGTTCATTTTCAGAATTTGTTCACTAGTTGTATTTATATTTTTGCATTTCTGTCAATTCTATAGTTCCATTTGTTTAAAACAGCCCAGTTAATTTGTGGATAAATGAGTATTTGAAATGCTGATTTTACCTTTGCTGTTCTTACAACAGATCCGCCAAATATCACATTTCTTGAAGTGCCATATCCGGACCACCACTGGTGTATTCCCTTCAGTGTGAGGGGGAATCCACAACCTACCCTGACATGGCTGCATGATGGGGTTAAACTGAATGAGACGGATTTTATCTTCACTAAAATACATGTTAGCAATCGGAGTGAACATCATGGCTGCCTTCAGCTAGACAACCCAACTCATGTGAACAATGGAAATTATACCTTGGTGGCACAAAATCCATATGGAAAAGATGAAGCTAACGTTACTGCTTATTTCATGGAAGATCCTGGAGGTAGTATGTAATAATTATTGTTATAATATTCTTAAAACAGTTATTAAAGAGAGCTATTTACTCCACAGGTTTATTTATTGTGGTTACAGTGACCAATTCCTTTTTTCTGCATGCAACCATTTAGTGGCAAAAATTTTAAAAATCAAATAAAAATATCAAATTGGGTCTACTGTTGAAAAATAGGGCACATATAATGTCAAGAAGCAAAAAAAGTAAGTTGAAGAAATCAGTGGAGAAAATAGCTGTAACCTTGCATGGTGAGACAAATTATTAAATCAGTATGCTAATGTTCTGGATCATATTATTATGATAAAAAGATACCAAAGCATATTTTTCCTATTTTTCCATATTGCAGTGCAAAATTAAAGCACTTCTTACTGAAGATAGCAATAGTTTCCTGCATTTACTTGTTAACTTGTTAACTTTGACTTCAAACTTTTAAATTTTTTTAAAATGCCATTGAATTGTCTGAACAACCAAATACTAATTAAGAGATGCAAACTGCAGTCAAATAATATGTGATACTAACCAAGACATTTTATTGTGCAATGGAACTTCTTTATTAATTGAGTTGCTTGTTTATGAACTCTTAAAAAGCCTCTTGATTGGGAGGGGGTGGGTGAATCATTACATGTGTGTGTGAGAGTGTATGTGTGTGCACATTCCCCTCTCTCCATTTCTTGTCTCCATCAGTATTCACAGCTGAAGTAATGTGCCTCCTATCCCCTTCAAAGCACTAAGCTATGTAGCAGGAGGATCAATGACACCTTACATTTCTGCTGATTAGATTACATGAATTTTGCTTAACAATTTATCGTGTATACTTGTGATTTTGCTTCATATAAGCTGCTTGGGTCTGTGATGCCAGTTTTATCATTTCTTCCTTTATCATTACACATGTTAGTGTGTTTCATTAAAATCATAACAAAATCATAAATGGTACAGAATTGGGTAGGTGTGTTTCAGCTTTTATAGTGAATAAAACACAAAAAGTATAGTGATAGTGGAAAGATATAAATATACCTCAAATACTCATTGGGAACACTGCAAAAGACCTTAATATGCCAGCTATGGCCACCAATTTGTTAAAGTCCCCCAAAATGCTGGCACTTTGAGGCATCCAGAGTAAAATACTTAAAACCCTGGAAGCTTGCTTGTGCAGATCTATATTGTCCTGTGAACTCAGCTAGACATGGCCTGCCTAAGGTTCATGTGACAAAAACTAAACTTCTTTGAGTATAGCTATCAACACATATTAAAAAATCACTCAGAATTTAGAAAATGTACTTTTCTGGTCCAAAAGTCATATTTCCAAACTCTGTAAAAAAGCCTTAGGATTAAGCCATGTTGTGGAGGAGCCTTCCAGTTTTTTTATCTTTTAATATTGAGTATGTTGTTCAAGCTTCCACTTTCTGTCCAACTTCCTGCATTAGAAAGACACAGACAGAAGATATAATGTAGTGTGATTATATTAATGGTTTTTGTTGCTGTTTAAGATAAATACAGATCGGTCTTGTAATGTTAAGAAGACTTTGGTGACCATTGTTGTTCTGCTTTGTCATTGCACAAAGAAGAACACTGGGTCTTCCATATCTACAGGCTCTGGATCCTATTTCAACTGTCTATCCATCATCATGCCCCATATTATTAAATGGCAGCCATATGAATGTGAACATGCTGAGACATGCATGTTCATGTCACTACCATTTAATAATATGGGTTGTGATTGTCTGCATGTTTTAAAATCTGCATCGAATCCTATAACCAAACCCTTCAAATACGGTGGGCGCACTGTATATTCATTATGCCTACATGCTAGCATTAAATATCACACTGGCTGCATAATGAAGAGGGTTATCCTCCATGCAATCAAAACCAAAGCTCTGGTATTACATCCAAGAGTACTGAAGGACCTAGCAAAAGTAATAATATTGAGAATTCTTGGAGAACAGGAGAAGTCCCAGTAGACTGGAGAAGAGCAAATGTTGTCCCTATCTTCAAGATGGGAAAAAAGAGGACCCAAATAATGACTGTCCAGTCAGTCTGACATCTATACCAGCAAAGATTCTGGAACAGATCATTAAGGAGGCAGTCTCTAATCACTTAGGAAAGAATACAGTGATCACCCAAAGTAAAAATGGATTTATCAAAAACATGTAGACTGCAAGCTTGGTAGATGCAGGGAATGCTGTGGATGTAGCGTATCTTGATTTGAGTAAGACCTTTGACAAGGTCCCCCATGATCTTCTTGCAAACAAACTAGTAAAACATGGGCTAGATGATACTAGGGGTGTGCAGTTCGGCTAAACCCTGTCCATTTTTAGTGTCTGGATTACGGTGGTGCCCCTGATCCATTTTTCAGGAACCTCCTGAATTAGGGCAGGCAAAATTCCACTTTTTGATCCAGCAGCTGAAAGAATAGTTTTTGTTCCGGGAAGATCCGGCCCATTGGCAGCAATGATCGAATTTCCCAGGCTCTCCTTTCTGTCATTTTTAGGGCATAAATCTTAAGAATTCACTTTTTTCTGGTATTGTTTCTCCTCACATCCTTCAATAAGACCTGGGTAAGGCATCTGAAGAAACGACCCCTTCTGGAATACTTTCTCCTTATATCCTTCATTGAGACCTGGGTTTAAGGCATTAGACTTAACAAACAACCTTTTCTGAAATAATTTCCCCCCTCATTTCCCCCTCTATTCTACTTTGGTCAGACTTTACCTGGAATACTGTGTCCAATTTTGGGCACCACAGTTCAAGAGGGATATTGACAAGCTGGCAAGTGTCCAGAGAAAAACAACTAAAGTGATCAAAGGTCTGGAGACCATACCCTATGAGGAGCAGCTCAAAGACCTGCATATGTTTAGCTTACAGAAGAGAAGGTTGAGAGGAGACCTGATAGCCATATATTAATAATTTAAAGGCTGTCATAACGAAGAGAGAGCAGGCTTGTTTTCTGCTGCCTGTAGACTAGAACTTGGAGCAGTGGGTTCAAATTACAGGTAAGGAGGTTCCACTTGAACATTAGGAAGAACTTCCTGACTGTAAGAATTATTCAACAGTGGAACTCGCTGCCTTGGAGTGTGGTGGAAGGTTTTGGAGTGTGGTGGAAGCTGGAAGTAGTAATTTTTAGTCGAGTAGTCATCCTAATGTTATATATTCTACATAAAATGTTTTATTTTGTTTTATACATTTTATACACGGGACCCAAACCTACGTCTAAGTTATATTTAGAGATTGTAACTGCTGTTCAGTTTAGTATCATGTAGTAACATGACTAAAGACAGTGAATACATAGGATGTCTGTAACACTCGTTAACTACGGGACAAAATAAACAAGCTGGAACCAGCAGTGTAGTTGGAAGAGCATGGCTATGAAACAAAGTATTCCATCAGTCCTCAAATAGAGGGGTGCATGTAGAAATGTTGTTCTATATCTTCTAGCTTGTCTGGAGAAGTGGTCTTCACTTCCTTGTTAAAGTTTCCTTGCAGTCAGTCCTCTCTCATGACTTTGCCATTGCAAAGACTTTTAAGTAGTTTTGCATCTGCCTTTTTGAGTTTTTTTAAAATCTAGATTTATCTTAAGAATGCAAAAGAACCCTGTTTGTTTCTTGGGTGTCCCTGCCCTATTTGTTTTTAGTATTGCATCTTATTATTGGAGCAAGACTAAGGCATTTCCTGTCCTATCAGAGACAATATATGTGTATTTAGTTGCAAAACATAGTCATTGTTTGATTAATTCCAGAGGCAAGTTTGTCATCCAGATGCTTAATGAGTTTACTCTTTCTCTACGCAAAAGCTTTAATAGATGACCTTCTTTCTGGCACAACATTCTGAGGTTAAGTTTGGCTTCAGTTCTTACAGTTCTTTGTCATGAGGAATATTCCAATAGCTCATGTCTATTTTCAATATTCCTAGCACTGTAGCTGAAGATCAGGAGATTAATTCACTTGTAGACTTTGAGAACCAATAGAAAAAGTTGAGTTCTTTAGGAGATTTTTTAAGGCATTGGCAGGAATAACATTAATTTTAGAGAAAATTAGTTACAATAACTACAAAACTAACTATAAAATCATCAAAATCATTAAGAAAAACAGTAGTATTAAAAAAAACCAAAGATAAGATCTCCTCAAAGCGTCAGATGCCTTACATGAAGTCCATCTGGGACTGAAATGAAAAATAACTACTATATATACACATGTATAAATCTTGACATTTTGTTCAAAAAGATTGACTCCCCCCAGTTTATTCATGACTCAGTATGAGTACTGCACCTTAACTCTTACCAAAAAAAGGAACAATCCTTTCTGTGAATGTAATGGCAAAAGGCAAGAGCACATTACATTGTGGTAGAACTTAAAAGAAGCACTGCCCTCTTCTATTCTCTCTACCACTGTGCTGATTTTGGCCCTTTCAAATGTCTGGGTAAGAAAATGGCAATGGTGGGAGCTCTTTGGTCCCCCTGAAGAACGCCAATAGTGTAAAGGGTTTGATGCTTATTTTAGGTTCTCCTAGGAAGGACTGAGCTCTCTTGTTTGGCCATCTTACTTAGAAAAGTGTGTGGTTCGTTGTTTTTAATCAGGGCTAACATGCTACCTTAATTTTTATTTTAAAAAGGGGGGTAACCATCCCCTCTTTTGAGTAGAGTGGCAAAATGCCTTTCTGAATGCCTGGGCAGGAAAATGGCAGTGGCTAGAAATGACTGGCCTCCTGACGCCTTTCCCTTTCTGAAGAATGACTTGACTTATCCATGGGTCATATGAAAATCCATAATTTAGACCCCAAAATTTGCCCTTGAGGTTGACTCATATACTAGTATATACGGCTTGTAGTAGTTTTCTCCTGAGATATAGACTGCCCTTCTTATTTTTCAGCCTGAGATTTTTGGGATAAATTACTTTCATCTTAGCAAGGGAAAGTGGCCTGAGTTGATGGAGAAGTGGAAGCATGGTTCTTATTCCTTGTCCAGTATCACAGTCCTCTACCTCAGGTTTAGCAGTTTTTTCCTTTTTAATCCCATCTGGGTTTAATTTGCTTTTGAAATCTACAGTAAGAAAAGGCAGAAATGAAAAACTCATAACAGCCTTGGGAATACAGGTCCCTGTTGTTGCTGATATGTTTCTACATATTAATTAGTAGGCCTAGGGATGCAGGTTAGTGAAGAACATCAAACATAATAGGCTAGTGGTTCTCAGCCTGTGGGTCCCCAGATGTTTTGGCCTTCAACTCCCAGAAATTCTAACAGCTGGTAGAGTCCCTCTACGGAGGTTAAGAAGATCGGGATATAAAAGTTTTGAATAATAAATAATAAACTGGCTGGGATTTCTGGGAGTTGTAGGCCAAAACACCTGGGGACCCACAAGTTGAGAACCACTGATGTAAGCTCTTGTGGCAGAGGGCAAGGACCAAGCTCTGGTGTGTGTTTATGCATTGGCCTTAGTTCAATATTGCTCCTCCTTAAGGTGGTGATCCTATAATTATAAGGTGTTATATTTGACCCCATGGGCTTCAGAGGCAGCAAATAAGTGATGCTATCCTTTGGCAATTGAGCTTTTTGAAGCTTGTAGCCCTGTGTTTCTTCTCAAGAAAATTAAGCTCTTGTACAGAGAGATACCACAAGCAAGCTCACAGAGGTCTTCACCACAGGATTTTGGGCTGCTGGTTTCTCAGGAAAGCTTGCAGGATCACTTCTCTTTCTGAGCTCATGACCAGATAGTACAGGTCTTAAGGTAGGCACCACCGTGTCTCATAAGCAAGCTCACTGAGCTCTTCCTCCACAGAGCAGTACGCGGAATGCTGGTCCTCAAGCTCAGATGAGACAGAACTTACAGGTAGGCATCCCAGAGTCTCCCAGTTCAAGCTCATGGGAGACTTACTCACAGGGACCTCTAATGTTTGAGCTTTCTCTACATCCCATAATACACAGTTTTTCTAGTGAAATGATTAGTGGGACATTAAAACAGTTTGTGTACCATGAGCAGAAAAACATCCTATTGATACTTGGAGAAGATCCACTGTCTGAAATCCCACTGACTTCAGTGAGTCTGCTTTAAGTATTGCTAAATTTGGACAGAATTCATTTAAATATTCTGTGTTAACTGTCAGAATAGAGGGAGACATGTTTCAATTGTTTTCATGTTCTAGTAATATTATCAGTTAGCAGTAAATTCATCTCAAAGCACTTCAGGAAGAATAGGTACTGCACAGAATTTATCTTGATGTAGACCAGTTTAATTTGCTGAAGATCTTTTTTGCCGTCTTTGAAAATGCAGTTTTGAGGTCTTAAAAAAAAAGAATAATTGAAAGTAAAAATTCAATATTGGTTGAAATGGATCTGTTCTGACATTTATTTTTCATCCTGGTTATTTTATAGGCATTGCCTCCTTTCATATATGTGCTAATATTTACATTTAAAACTCCTTTGTAGGAGTCAGTTCAAGTTAAAAAAGGATTCTGAATTTCGGACTATTGGCAATAAAAAAAGACAACTTATTAGTTGAAATTTGGATGGATTTTCTCCTTTAAAAATAAGTAAGTTGTTAGGAAAGCAATTATAATTCACAGGTTAGTTTGTGGGGGGTTTTGTTTGTTTTTACTCATACACACTTGAAATCCCAAGTTGAAAGTTCCACTTAGGCCACACATTTCAAAACAGCCAGCATGATTGTGTTGTTTCATCCCCAAGTGTCTGTCTTTCTAGTGAGTCCTGGCTAATCATTAATGAGAATGTAAATTAGCATAAATGATGTATTATGTGCCATTGTCCAAGAGAAGAAAAAATGTGTGTCTATGCCTTTTCATTTTGGTTTTAATCCTGGAAACCGATACGAAGGAAACATTCCTTAAGTAGAGGTTAACTATTATTCTTGAACGATTTGGCTCATTTTTTTGGAGAAATGGCTGCTAAATATAATGGTTATCCTTCTATTTTCAAGATTTCACCAGTGCTGAAAGCATCTTTATCAGCTGTTTCCAAAGATGAAGGAATATGTGGTAGACACATAATAGCCACTATCAGAATATTATTGTTTTCCCCTTCAGTGTGTATACCAGTGGTTCTTAACCTGTGGGTGGTCCGCGAGGACGAAAATCTGGTTCGCAAGCTTCTTTCCTCTTTATTTATTTATTTTATTTTATTTCCGCTCCTTTTGTGCCACCTGCTATTCCTTCCCCGTCGCTGATCATGGCATATGTTCTGTATCACAAACTAGAGCTGATGTGGTCTATCCAATGCAATTTTCTGAATCAGCACCCCAAATTTAAAGTTGAACAAAAACTGTTTAGTAACCCTTTTAGTACTAATGCTGGAGAGTCAATGTCATTCCTGGTCAGGTGGTCTGTGGTCAAAAAAAAGTTGGGGACCACTGGTGTACACACACCTTTTTGTAAGAAAAATTGAAAAAATAAAATAGGACGATTTCTTTGGTAAAATGGGCGGAGCATGCATAAGAGCAAATTGTGGGTGTAATGAATGGGGTTGATTTCATTTCTAATCCTAACCTTGCAGTCTTAAATTCTTTCATCTTTATTTTTTGTAATCTTTATTATCAGCAAAGAAACATGATTTTTTTAAAAAACAAATTCTTTAAATATCATTGTAATGAAACAGGTCCAAAAAAAGGTAAGAAGCAAACTACAAAATAGTTATATTCAAGACCAGCCTTTTAAACATACCAGCCTGTCGCTGCTTTACTCATGTGAAAGCCTATTGCTGCTTTACTCATCTGAAAAGCAACAGGTCTGTTGAAGAGATTCCCTTCTATGTGAGAAAGCTCTCCATGACAAAACCCTGAGAAATCATACTTTTGTGAATAGGAGAGGCTCTCCTCTTCAGAACTATCACTTTCCATCTGAGTACCTACTATAGAAGAGGTAGGGATGGTGTGCACGTCTCATTGTATGTTAATTTAAGCCTTAAAATAGAATTCCTAAATAGGACTAATTCAGTTGAATCTAAATGTGCCGGGGTGGGGGGAGGCTGACCACTACAACTGCCATAATTATCTCAAAACTGATAATATTTTTTCCAAGAGAAATGTGAATCCTTAAACGGGCTTTTAGAACAAAATACTTTACTTAGATCCTAAAATCACAACACTAACTCAGAAATAATTGTGTAATGGAGTTAAAATATTAAAAGTGCAATAAGAGATTTAGGAGGAATGTCCTTACTATCAGTCCACTATCCAAATACATCTGTCAGCAGATCTGATCCTATCCCCCTTCCTGTAACTACTGTGTTGCCTCCAAGTTGCTTTGAGGTCATAGGAACAGAAAAATCCCTTTAAGTGAGCCTGTTCAAGCAATGCTGCATGCTGTCTTCAAGGTAAATAAGATGATTATATATATTTACGCTTATTTCTAAGGCATATTGTGAAAAAGGTGAGCTTGTGTATGTGTTGTGTGCTTATGTGCTGGGCTGAATGTGGAGCAAATAAAAGTACTTTGTACTTTTCGGGGAATATGTGATATACAGTCAATAAAATGTAGGTCTGAATTCGATGCTATACGTATTAAGTTGTCAAAGAGGCTAATGTATTAAATGCAATTCAGTTCTTTATTTGTGGTTTAATAACCTCCTTTCTCTCTCTCTTTGTTTCTTAGGTAGTCCCTTCTATGATCATGCAGGTTATAGTGGTATACTTTTATTTTTTATTCCAAATGTGTATAGAACCCTAAATGCAAGATAACTAATCAACTAAGTGTCTGAATCTCGTGAAAGATGGACTTTTATTGTCAGCTATGCTTAATTTCCATTCAGTGTTAACATCACTACAGTCAGTGTTAAGCATTTCAGCCGGCCAAGGGTTTAACCCATTTCACCAACGGGGGCTCCTATATCAATAGCTAAGACTTGTTCTTTCTATTGATGGACGATAGTCTTATTTGTAATATTTGTAATATTTTTGTATAATTGCTAATTATTTTCATAATAAATATGTTGAACATCCATTATCAATCAAAAACCAGAAATCCTTTTAAACAGAGTTGTATTAGTTGAAGATTCCAAACCTACACCGCATTGAAGGGCCTCATGGTTGCATCATCGTAGCCAGAGGCATTTCCAAATTAGCATTGTTCAGAGGCTGTACTTATAATTAAACAAAAACAGCAACATTTCTGAAGAACCAAAATTAAGAAAATAACATAATAACAGAGATTGCACACAATGTCTCATCCAAGAATCAGAAGGTAATTGTGGAGAGAGCAACTCAGCTTTCTATCAAAGTCACCAATCCAAATGCCAGACTGTGCAGCAAAAAATAATAAATAGTTGTTTTTATACAACTGTATTTAATAAAGGTATCAAAAATAACATCAATTGTTTTTATTTGTAAAAGTCCATCTTAAACGATATTGTTCTTGTAGTTTCCCTATTGTTGTCTGCTTCCTTTTAAGAGAAAATAAAATGTTTTGAATAAAATTACCTAACATAAAATATCATGACTTTGCCCCATATCTTGTACATATGGGGTATTATTTATTTTTGACTGTAGCATATTGTTTATCAGCTGAGCAAATTGGAGTACAGAGTGGCTCAATTCTATGGAACAAAAACAAATCATGTAATTCTACAGAAGTAAAACAAATTAGACCATTAAAGGTCTCCTCTCCCCTTCCCCCCTTACACCCCTGGTCTGCTTCTAGGCTTAGGGATGATTACATCATTTTTCCCAAAACAAAGCATAGCTGCAGAGAATATTAAAAATTAAATCCAGTTGTGCAACTTTTAAAGCAGGTATCAAAATATTTTATGTAGACTCACCTGACAACAATGTGAAATTAAATATTCCTCTTACATGTTTTATATATTTTATGTCTGTTTTATTTGCATTAATTTCTAGGGTTCCAAATCCTTAAAGCCATTCAATCAGATATTTCTACTCCCCCCATATTTTGTAATTGTACCATTTATACTAGAGACAGTAGATTTCCTGTCCCATGGTCAAGTCACAGTTTGAATATATTTTTAATGGTTACTAACGTGTAGCAACTACCCCCTTCATGTGTCACTGGAAACTTTATGTACATCTTGATTTTTATACTGCATTATATTCTAGAAAACTGGCTTACAAAATTAATGTAATGATGTACCTTTCAAGAGTGCTATAAACAAGCACATTATATGTATATTTTGAAACATAAAGAGGATGCATTGTTGAAGGCTTCAGGGTCGGAATCACTGGGTTACTGTGAGTTTTTTGGGCTGTATGGTGATGTTCCAGTAACATTGCCATATAGTCCGAAAAACTGAAGCTGGATCCAGACAGGCCCTTGTCCCAGAAGCATCTGCATTATAAAAATGCGGATGTTTCTGGGGGCCAGTCCATACCCACCCCAGAAAGTGCACGCTTTCTGGGGTGGGTTGTCCACACGTTCTCTCGGGACTAGCCCAAGAGAACGTGTGGAGGCCCTCCTCCCAAGTCCCCAGACCCCTTAAAAAACTAAGAAAATCTTATGTGGTCTCCACTTGAAGCCACGGCAGACCCTCCTGGCATGGAATAAATGTACTATCAAATTAATTGGCTACAAACCAGGGTTTTCCTGATTTGTAGCGAATTAATTCGGGACTGTCCAGAACATTGTCTGGACAGCCCCTCCTTTATTGTGGGATTTCTCTGGATGGGCCCTGAGAGCAGCCCATAAAGAGTATGTTCAGCACTAGGAATGGGAAGCAATTATTTAGGTCAAAAATGTGATTACTTACAAACAAGAAAGTTCAATAAGTAGAATAACAGACCAGGTACAATTTTGTGAAATTTTCTACTCATGTTGAAATGTCCTGAAGTATTATTTGCAAAGTAGTTTCCCCACAAGCATGTATTTTTTTTTCTTTCACAGAAAGCAGGATTTTGTGCCCCCCCCCCTCCGCTTTCCCAGTTTTTTGTACAGAGTAGTTAATATTCCAGGACACTCTGATACAGATGGAGAATACTGCAGAGAAGTAGTTGTTCTCTCTGAGAGCAGGAAGCTGCCATAACCATACATTTTCTCATGTGAAGATAAAATAATTGAGAATTTACATTTCTATTCAGCACTCAGTTTAGGCCATTCTTGAGATCACTAGAAAAGCTGAACTAAAAGTCTATTCCTTACAAGAAAACATTTTATCACCAATCTCTAATGTAACTAGTCTGAATGTTAAAAGTCAGCAGAGTTTGTTTGTTGTTGTTCATTCATTCAGTCGTCTCCGACTCTTCGTGACCTCATGGACCAGCCCACGCCAGAGCTCCCTGTTGGCCGTCACCACCCCCAGCTCTCCCCAGCAGAGTTTGTAGACCTTCCTTAATCCGTCCCTTCCTCCACAACCTATTGATGAGAGAGTTTTGAAGAGAATTCTCATTAAATTTTGAAGTGGCTCTACCTGCTATAGGAAATGCTTGCATTATTCTCCCTTCCTCACCCTTGAGATAAGATTCTGCTGTTGGCATCTCCAGGCTGCCCAACAAGATTTTGCTTCTTATCTAACTGAACTACCAACTGCATGTTCATACAAGAGAGGGCTTTGATCAGGCTCTCATTTTGTTACAGCAACCAACCCTCCCACTTTGGAGGGTTAGTTGCTATAACAAAGTAGCTGTCAAATCTAAAAATGGCAGAGTTGAAAGAAACGTAGAAAGTCACGCACTGTTGTTGCTGTGACATCTCTGTACACCTGGCCTGGACAATCTGTGGCCCTTCAGGTGTTTTGGACTTTGGCCCCAAGAATTCCTGACCATTTGCTGGCATGCACTTTAATTTGTGTCTGGGAGAGCCCATAGACTCATATAATGCAGTTCAATGCAGTTAAACTGTATTGTTTGAGTTTTCACTGACTATATAATGCAATTTCAAATGGCAGTATTTGGCAGTGTAGATGGGACCTAGAAGTAGCAGTGGTGGCGACTCGGGTGATGGCAGTGGTATGCATTTGGTCAGGTGATTCGTCTGAAGTGGACCCAATCCAGCTGTGCAAGTTTTGCTCAAAGGTGAAGGGGGAGTCAGATTATAGTTTTGAGCAACCTAAGTTTTTGTGACTATTTTACAGTGCATTTACAAGCATTGTGTCTCACTTGCTTTTCATTTTTATAATCTGCTGACTGTGCTCATTATGCCCAGCTCATTGCAAAATTTCTGTCCTGAATGTGCCATAAACATTGATTGTAGTATATGGATAATAGTAAAAGCTTCTATTTATAGTGCCTTTGAGTATCATAGTGCGCATCAACATTTTCCTAGATTTTTAAAATCTAGCTAAGGAACAGAGTTTTGAATTTTAACGATTTCAACATCATAATAGTAAATAAAGAATAACACTCAAAAACAGGGGAATTCCACACAAGAAACAATCAGTGCTAGCTAAACACCTCCCAGCAAAGGATTCCCCCATGCAGCAGAAGCCAAACCTTGAAACTGCTAGGCCATTAAATGCTAATAAAGGTAGCCAACTGAAACATTCACACTTGCCTCAAACAGACAAGAGTTCTTTTTCCCATCCTGGACATTCCTGATATATAAACCCCCGTTTTCCTAGTTTCCAACAGACCTCACAACCTCTGAGAATGCCTGCCATAGATGCAGGTGAAACATCAGGAGAGAATGCTTCTGGATCATGGTCATACAGCCCGGAAACTCACAACAACCTAGGGTTGAAGCTACTTTTCAAATTACTGAGATTTGTTGTAGAAGTCTGGACCAAATAGACCGGTGCTTTTTGGTGTACAGCAAGTAAATTGAAGCGATAGAGCAGAACAATAGAATCAACAAATACTGCAGTTTTAATTTTATTGTGTTAGTTGCTTTTAGTAGAGACAAAAAAAGTTAGGTGTGTAAATAGTACATTCTTTCTCTTAGACGATTATGGAACAACAACAAATGATTTTGAAGACACAACAAATAATAGTAATAATCAAGTTACTTCTACGGATTTTACAAATAAAGACAATGAAGATAGCATTACTGTAAGTATATACATAGTTTCCTGGCTGTAATCTCAGCAGATTTTCTGACTAGGGATCAGATGAGCTTGTGGTATTTTTGTTTGTAACTAGATACCACCATCCTAATATCCCAGTGCTTTTAGTTAGCTAATATGAAAAAAATGCTCTTGGGGGGAAAAGGGTGTATTCTAGACAGACCACAGTTTGCATAGTTAAGCTGACCATGAGTAGTTGTGGCTTGCAAGTCGAATCCATACCATTCTTATTTACAGCTCCAAAACCTTTGGTTTCTTTTCTTTGAAAAAAGGCAGACATTTTTATTTAAATGCATTTAGCAGTCAGCAAATGACTGAAAAAGCGAATAGGTTGAATAAACTTGATGGTGCATTGGAGATAAATGGGAATTTTCAGATTTTTTAAAATATGAGTTCACAAAAATCTTTCAAATCATATTCACAATGTTAACTACTTAATATTATAATGAGGGACAGCATAAACTGACACATGTTCCCATTCCTATGTTACATGTCCATTGCCCTAGCAGAGTTGATCCTGGGATATTTCATGGCTCAGGCCTCCTTGCTAGCCATATTATACAAATAGTCAATCTTTTGCTTCTCACACCCACCATCTTTTACTCAAGTACCATTATGACGGCATAGAAGGTGAGCCTTGGTAGGCTGTGTTGATTCTTACCATGTGCCAAGGGTCAACCTGCACATTTCAAACTCTCTTCCAATTTTATTTCTTTTTTTCTGATAACGCAGAGATGTTAACATTTGATATATCTCTTTTCCCTCTTAGGTGTATGTTGTAGTGGGCATTGCAGCATTAGTGTGCACTGGTTTAGTAATTATGCTCATTATTCTCAAGTTTGGAAGACACTCAAAGTTTGGAATGAAAGGTAAGAGCTGCTTTTATTTCATTTTTCATGTAAACTAGTGATTTTTTAATGCAAATTTTATATATGATCTTGTGAGTCTTATTCTTTGAGGTTCTTTTTTGCCCTCCCCTCATCGGAATGAGAGCCATATTTTCTGGTTCTTAGAAAGCCAACATGCACAGGGCTCCTAAACACTTGGAAATAAATTAGACATCTATGTGCTGAGCATGTAGGTCAGAAGAGGTCTCTGTAAATATTTTCTGCTGAAAAAAAAATCAGAATTTCCAATCATAAAGGCTTTGTAACTATGTTCAGCCAAAGACAAATGACTCTTCAGGCCTTCTTACTCAATGTTATAACTTATTTCAAGGGTGGTAGGGACAGGGCTTACATGTCACTCACAATCTTGTCTCCAGTTTTAGATCTGTTTGTGTTAAGGTGAACAGAACTAAACACTTTGTCATATTCTAGATCAGAGGGCTCAGCTATAATTGGTTGCTAGCATTGCTGTGAGAGGAGAAAACCAGACCATCAGCCTTGACAAGTGATGGAAAGCAGCTAGCAACTCATGGTGTTGTTGCTGCCGTTTCTTAATTTCAAGTGCAGTAGCCTAGACAGGAGCATTAGCTTCTCTGTTGGTATGTAGCCACTGGACTATTGATCAAAAATTCTGTACTTTCCTTTTCTATGCAAATATTTCTAATAGAAAAGTGGTATTTTTATAAGGCAAAGAGTGCTTCCCAGCTTCCCAAGTGTACCTTTACCCTCTCCCCAGCTCTTTGTTCATGATGACATCCTTTTCCACTCTTGCTACTGCATCATTTCAGAATGAGGTGTTGCTTCCTGTTCCACATCATCCTTATTCTGAATGGGTAGGAAGTGTGAGGGGATGTCACAGGAGAAAGTATGTGGCCACCACCTTACAATGAAGGTATTTCCACCTGGTAGTTCTTCCTATTGTACCCTTCATTAATGTACCAGTTATCACAGTTTCTCTTATTTCATTGATTAATAAAAGTAACAACTGGGGAAAAATGACAAACATCCATTTTCTATCTTGCTTCTATTGTACTTACATAAATTAATGGGTTTCAATAGTGAAATCATATAAGTACAGCCTCTGTATCTGTGAGAGATACAATCCAAAACACATATCCCTGTGAATACCTGACATTATGGATAACAATGAACCCTAATTTTTAATACGATATAATTACTCTGGAGGACCTAAAGAAGCCTACAAACACTTCGGGTGGGGGGGGGGGGGACTTTTTTGAGTGTTGGTAAGTGAAACCATGGATATCAAATCTGTATAAGGGAACATGGGTAAGTGATACTGTGCATATCAAATCTGTGTACAGTATAAGTTTATTTTTCAGTGATACAGAGGTATTCTGTATTTTGCATCGAGGAAGAAACTTCACAGAAGAAATGATATCTGAAATTAATTTTCTGTATCATATAAAAGAAATACTAAGGGACCATGATATTTAACTAAAATAATGGATGGGGTAAACTTTTTTTTTTTTGTCCAGTAGGTAGTTGCTACTGGGCATGTCCACCATATGTGTAATATGTACAGATTTCATTCCCACAGTCATTTCTGGCAAGTTTGATTCTGACTGTTAATAGATTTTTCCAGGATATAGGGAATAGTTTAATAAATCTTCTCTTAGATTTAAACATTAAAAAGGAAACTGCCATTTTGAGGCAGGATGGTAGCATAGAGATGACAATGAGAACTGGGGCCATCCAGCATCATGAAGCTCCCCAACTCTTGGTGTGACCTTTAAACACATTTTTGCCTAGTTGCTTCCTGTGAATATTGTAAATATTCTGAGACAAAAATGAGAAAGAAGCATAGATAGTATGTAATTTGCATTGCTGCTCCCACTCACACACACAGACTCTGTCCCCTCCACACCATTAATGATGGGATTTCTGCTAGATGCACCACAGAGATGAATGTCAGGAGGTTGTGTGGTGTGGAATCCCAACAAAATAGTCAAGTTATTCTTTGATTTAACAAAATTTATTTATTATTTATTTATTTACTGCATTTATTGACCGCCGCTCTCAGCCCTAGGGCGACTCGCAGCGGTGCACAACATATAAAAACAATTTACAAAAGGGCAAAACAGGAAATCAATACAACAATAATACACTATAATCTAAGTTACAAAAGCAGTAGTGTTGAATTTTGTGGGTTTTTCTTTAAAGATATGGCATCTTTAAAACATTGATTTTTTTTCCTTGTTATTTTTGTGCTCAAGGCTAATAATACTTCAGTTGTCTAACTTTGGGAGTACAGTATCATGGTAAGAATAGCCATGCAGGAAGTGTCTAAGATATTGCAGAAATAGCTTTTTATATACTTCCACCCAAGCTGAAAGATCACTTCTGAAGTATGAATTTGTTTTTGTTTTTTTTTGTAGCAAGAACTGATAGATCGATACCATTGTTCTTTGACTAGAAATACTGAAGAAGTCAGGAACAATTGAGGAAACAATTATTTGCAATTTATAATTGTAGAGCAAGAGTGGAATGATGCGCCTCACTAAATATTATTGGACTTCAAGTCACAAAAGCCTTAGCTATAATAAGCATTGGCGGGTAGTTCTTGGAATTTTAGTCTGAAAACATAACACTCAACTCTGATGTAGAAGTTTTCAGAAAAAAACAGTGCAAGGATACTCCCATAGCAGCTTCTCTGTCCTTTTTACTATCTTCCCAACTTTAAAGGAACAGCAGGCGGCCAGAAGGGCATATCCATGAAATTAGCTAGTTAGAGCGCTTCCAGACATTTCAATGTGGTGTTGGCACACTGAGTACCCCCCCCCCTTCTCCATTTCACCCCAAAACCAAAGACACAGCTGCCTTATCATTGCTGGAAGGTTCCCTGTAGGTACATCAATAATGACATGACGGAGCTCCATTGCATCATTACAGGTTTTGGGGTGAAACCGGCAGGGAGGAGAGAGAAGCAATGCTATCCCACCTCCACAGCTCCCTTACCTGCAAAAATCTGGATCTTCAAGGATTTTACTGTCACTATTCCAGCAGCTGCAGCTTCTACACCAATACCAAACTATACTCTAGATCAGTGGTTCTCAACCTGTGGGTCCCCAGGTGTTTTGGCCTACAACTTCCAGAAATCCCAGCCAGTTTGCCAGCTGTTAGGAATTCTGGGAGTAGCAAGCCAAAAACATCTGGGGACACACAGGTTGAGAATTACTGCTCTAGAACTAACAGTTCTCACATTAAATTCACTGTTACTTTTCACACACACACACACACACACACGGTTAAATGTCAGGAGCATTGTAATCCAGTGATTTATAGTACAATCTTATATGTTTTTCCTTGCCAAGCATGTGTAGAACTGCAGCCTCATGGCACTAGTTTCACCGAGCACAAAGAATCCCCCTTTACTTTCCCTGCAGTATACATTTCACTACAGTTCACAGATCCATATCTTCATTCATTAGCATGGGCAGAATTAAGTGTTCTGTTGCAATGAATAAATGTGGTATTTATAGGTAAGGGAACACTATGCTTTTTTAAATGTTTCCTCTCCCATCCTCTTTCTTGCTAGGATGGAGTTTTAGGTGCTTCTTTGCAGTGGTTCTTGTTCTCTTTATTGAATTTTCTGTGGTAGAAAAAAAAGATGAACCGGGTGGAGGGAAATCACAGAAGAGCTACAAATGGAAAATCTAATTGTTCTATCCCACTCTTCAGCTCTTGTTGCAATTCCATGAATAAAGCATGATCAGAACCTCCTATGTTGGAAGCCCAAAATGTCTGATGGTATTTGGAATACATATGCATGTATAGGAGCCCCCGGTGGCGCAGTGGGTTAAAGCACTGAGCTGCTGAGCTTGTTGATCGAAAGGTCACAGGTTCGATTCCGGGGAGCGGCGTGAGCTTCCGCTGTCAGCCCTAGCTTCTGCCAACCTAGCAGTTCGAAAACATGCAAATGTGAGTAGATCAATAGGTACCGCTCTGGCGGGAAGGTAACGGCGCTCCATGCAGTCATGCCGGCCACATGACCTTGGAGGTGTCTACGGACAACGCTGGCTCTTCGGCTTAGAAATGGAGATGAGCACCACACCCCAGAGTCAGACATGACTGGACTTAATGTCAGGGGACTACCTTTACCTTTACCTTTTTATATCTGGCCAGTCAGCATCAAAATCGCTTCCCGAAGAGGTGTGCCTCTTATTTCTAAATCTTGTTTCAGTAGTAAATATAATTTATAGGGAGCCAGAATGCTATGTGGCTTTGTGTGAGGAATTTGGATTCTTTGAGATCAAATTCAAATTCCTTCTCAGCCAGGGGAACAGTCTGGATGGCCTTGGACAAGTCATACTCTCTCAGCCTAAGAGTAAGGCAATAGCAAACCTCCAACAAATAAAGGTTACCAAGAAAACGCTAGAAGAGAGACACCTAAGGACCCTTCCAGACAGGGAAAAAATGCAAGAGGAATTGGGGTTTTTAATCCCAGTTCCTCTTGGGATGAAAGCCACACAGCTAGCCTAAACCCTGGGATTTTGTAGGCGGGGGTGACCAGATACTCCTCCCATTTTCCTCTGCATTTACCGAGAGAAGACTCAGACAAGGCCTGGCAAGCCCCCTCCTCCCTCCATCCACAGCTAAATTTTGTAAAAGAAAAAAGTTGGTGTCAGCTGCATACAACTAAAAATCATGTATGGTGTGGTTGTAAAATACACTTCTGAAAGTCAGTTTGATTCCCATCTTCCAAAGCATTGACTTCATAGGAATTTCTGTGGTTCCTTAATTATCTTGGTTTCTACTTGGCACCCTCACAGTTGAAAGGTTTAGCTTGTTCAATCTTCAGTCCTGACAGCAACAGATGCATACAGCAAGTTAAAATTTTGTTTCTGTCTCCCTAGTTATGGTCAATATTTTGTGAAGGTGACAAACCAACATGTAGAAATGTTAGCTCAGCCAAATTAAATAAACTTCCATCATCAACAAGTAATATCAATGGAAGAAATTGC